TCGTGGTGGGTCTGACTCTGAAGTGACTCGTGCTTGTTCACTGTGGAGCTGGACTAACACAGCCGGACATGGATGGTCATGGTTCCGCGGACGCATTTCGGAGAGGAAACGCAACTTCTGTTTCATCCTGGCCCATGTAACTTTGGCACCGACATGTAAACCAGAATAAAGTGACAGTTTGGACTCGTTGGACATACCGGCTGTCTTTTCATTTAAAAAAAACGGGAATAATTTATCCTGTTCAACATAAGCACGTGTACTCCTCGCAAGGATGCCCGGAGTCCTGGGTCTGTACATTGGGATGGAGGTGCTCATTGCTTTTTCCTCGGTCATTGGGAATGTGATGGTGGTCTGGGCTGTGAGAATCAACCGATCACTACGGGACACGACCATTTATTTCATCGTCAGCCTGGCTCTGGCAGACATTGCGGTCGGGGCACTTGTCATTCCTCTGGCTATAACCATAAGCATCGGACTGAAGACTCATTTTTACAGCTGTCTGCTCGTTGCATGTACTGTACTGGTACTAACGCAAAGTTCAATACTCGCCCTCCTGGCTATTGCTATTGACCGCTATCTGAGGGTCAAGATACCAATGAGGTAATGTTGGTTGCTTGAAACTCATTTCACGGGAATTAATTTCACATTTCCAGTTCTGTTTTCTTTTTCTTAATGTATGATGGTTTCGTGTCATGGATGTGGAGGTTTTACTGAAGTTGACTGAAATGCTGCTTATCACAAGTCTGTTTGACTTGATATTTGACCCAAAACGAAATTAAAATGGTCATTTACTTACCCCCTGCTGAAAACCCCCCCAGCTAAAACCAGCCTAAGCAGGTTGGCTGGTCTTAGCTGGTTTAAGCTGGGTTTTAGCTGGTCTCTCAGCCTAAAACCAGCCAACCAGCTTAGGCTTTTTTTTGTGGTTCCAACCCCCTATGGCTTTTTTTCATTCTATGGAACGCAGGTTTTAAAGAATGTTAATGGAATTAAATTGATGTTGTCATGTCCAGCCAACCAGCTTAGGCTTTTTTTTGTGGTTCCAACCCCCTATGACTTTTTTTCATTCTATGGAACGCAGGTTTTAAAGAATGTTAATGGAATTAAATTGATGTTGTCATGTTGAACCCAAAATCACTACGAAAGTAATCATACAATTGCTTTATGCACTGTATTTCGAGTCTTCTGAAGTCATACAATAGCTCTGTGAGAAACAGGCTGAAATTTTAGTCGTATTTATCATAGTCTTGAAAATCTTTTTCTCTGTTGAGGTTTTAACAGCTGTGACCGGATCATTGAATCAGTGAGTTCGAGCACTTGACTGGAACAGTTCTAATCGTGAATGAATCATTCAGACCGGTTTTGTGAATTGGATCAACCGAATCATTAGAAAGATCCAAATAATGGCTGAATCAGAACTGCATACTGTTCTTACTTTTACTATAACTCAATATGGCAGAATAGTACAATTGTAGCATATGTTTCTGAATTAAGTTAATGTTTTGTTCATAAATCACAAATATTTGTGAACCCTTATGAACATTCCAATGAGATGTAGTGGTGAAAGGAGTATGTAAATAAAAAAAAATAGCTATGACTTCAAAAAAACTTTGAAATATAGTACACGTGAACCACTTTTGTTTTGTTTTTTGTTTTTTTGTTTTTTTAGCCCTGACATCTTCAGTTACAATTCATTGCCATTACATTCTTTAAAGTCACTTCATTTTCAAGTCCTGCGGGTTGAAACAACATAAGGGTGAATTTAATTTTGGGGCGAACTATCCCTTCATGGCAGATTTACGTAAAACAGAAATCAAACATGCGTATTGTTTAATTAGAATGTAATCATAATTGTTTGTCACATTAAAATCTTAATTTAGAGAGATCATTAAGAAACATTGTAACAAATGAGAAATAGTAAAAAAAAGAAGAAAAAAAAGTAGCATCTTTGCTTTCATATCATAGAATGTTGTTTGACCTGAGTGGGTTTGCCGTGGGCTGCAATGTTTCTGAAATGATTGCTGTGATATGGAATCCACTTTCAAAGTCACCTTCAAACCATGACTATCTCACAGTCCTTCATTTCCTGTCCTGACCATGGCCTCTCATTGAATGTGAAGTTGGAGTTACAAAGTTTGCACATTATATGAGTCAAAACAACTAAAAGACTGTTATGCCGCATTACTTCTGATTGCCTAGAAGAACAGCTAAATGACATACCCTTCCTTTATTTTAAATGTTAAATAAGATTATAACATTCTAGTCTAAGGTAATTACACTGGACAAATGCATAGTTTGTCAAACAAGCAACTAGTGCCAATTTGCCAGCTGAGTGGATGGCATGCTTCACTGGCTTCAATTGTGTTGTCTGAAAAGACCTGCTCTTCACAGAGAATGGACTGTGACTAAATCAAAATGTAATCCATCTCAACAGAGTTTGTGTAGTCAGATCACCACTTTTAATTTTGATTTCCATGCTATATATCACCGGGATTATTCATTCCAGATAAATCACACATGATGTTCCAAAACAGATTTTGAAAAAAAAAATCACTTGTTGGGTTTGTGCTTCCTCAGAAATGGGCCTAATCTTAGTAATTTTCATGGTTCCGCAGCATCCTTTACAAAACTTCCTCTTTTCTCTCAGTGTTGAAGAGTGTAACAGTTGTAACTGGATGTTACAATCCCATTTATTTTCTCCATAAGGGAATAGATTTTAAACAATAACACCTTTAAAGACAGACTTATTGCGAACTACAAGGTTGATGGTGTATGGTTTTCTTGAAGCTATCAGCCTGCATAATTTGGCCTATTTTTTTTTTGTTAATAATCATGTTCAACTGCAGAATTCGAATTGCATCAGTCTGCTCTTAGTTTATGAAACTATGAAAACTATTTACTTAAATATTTGCATGAGTATTATGCAACAAATTAAAGCCATTACACCGTCTTGTAACAGTTTTCAAATACTTGTTTGCTTCAAATTAAGGTTTGTAATGTCATTCACCTCGTAGCTGTTAGTTTGGTTCATTGCTCATAACTCTCAGGGCTTTTTTAAAATCCCTATGGGGATGGAAAAAGTAGATGGGCACTGTTGCACTCCACTGGCATCATTGTCTCAGAGTTGTTTAAAGATGTACTTTTTTTTCCCACAGCTATAAAAGAGTGGTGACTCCAAAGCGTGCAGGCATTGCAGTGATTGTGTGCTGGATGGTGGCCATCGTAGTCGGCCTGACGCCCATGTTGGGCTGGAACAATCTGGAGAAGCTACGACAGACCAACGGCACCGTGGGTGCTGACCTTCTAGTAACCTGTGAGTTCGAGAACGTCATCAGCATGGAGTACATGGTCTATTTCAACTTCTTCGGATGGGTCCTGCCACCTCTCGTCCTCATGTTGCTCATCTACGCTGAGATCTTCTACATGATCCACAAGCAGCTCAACAAGAAGGTCACCACCAACCAGACCGACCCCACTCGATATTACGGGAAAGAACTCAAGCTGGCGAAATCTCTCGCGTTGGTGCTCTTCTTGTTCGCAGTCAGCTGGTTGCCGTTGCATATCCTGAATTGCATCACTCTCTTCTGCCCTAGTTGTGAAAATTCAGTGACAATTCTTTACGTGGCAATCTTGCTCAGTCATGGTAACTCCGTTGTCAATCCCATTGTGTATGCATTCCGCATTAAGAAATTCCAGAATGCTTTCGTTAAGATCTGGAAACAGTATGTGTGTTGCACGGAGGATCCACGTCTGCGCGGTCGGCCCAGCTTTCGCATAGATGGCAAAGAGAGAAGATTGGGGGGCAATGACATCTGACACTTTTTAAAATATGACAGTATAAATGAGTCTAGGAAAATGCCTGGGATGTATGCTGTCAGTTGTGAGAATGCATTTGCCACAGAAATGGAGACGATCGAACATTACTGGAAATGTTTCCTTGAAAACTCAGTCAGTGGTGCATAATAATGAATTGCATCGTTAGTGAGGGACCATTAAATAAATGAAAATGACCTGTTTTAGAGGAATAGCCACACAGTTCAACCGACATTCACATCTGTGGGAAAAATCTTTATTTGATTATGATTTCCTTTTGTGCTGTGGTTCATTCGAATGCGGCTGTAACATAAAGTGCTTCATATAATGAGTGCAAAACTGCAGACTCGTAAATGTCAGTGCTTATGAGTACACTAAACCACACTCGTCTTTAGTCAGTAGCGTAAACGCGTCTGAGGACTTTGAGAAAAGGACATTGAGGATGTGATCTGAGGTAATTTTTATATGCCAGTGAATTCATGTTTGAGAAGTATGGGATTTGTCATTTGCTGCTTTTCAGGATGAGCGCAAATCGGAGGCAACAGGCCCACTTCGTCTTCAAGGGACAGTTTATAAAAATAAACAAATCTGTCATTTACACACCCTTGTGTCATTCCAAACCTGTATGAAAAGATATTTTTAAAAATGTCTATAGAATGAAAGTCAGTGGGTTTCAGAATTGTTTTGGACCCCATTGACTTTTATTCGAAACCGCTGAAACATTCATGAAAATATGTTTGTTTAGCAGAAGAAAGTCATACAGGTTTGAATATAAGATGACAGAACTTTCATTTTTGAGTGAACTATCCCTTTAAGCAGAACTTTGCGTAATCCTATTGGTCCAATATCAGCAATGTTGCTTTTGCCATATTAGAAAACCTCTTAATTTTTTTAGATGTTTCAGTCTCAGTGAAATAATTTGCCATATTAATACTCATCCCTACTGTATGTTTAACTGAATAACCACTGGAAATTGACGGTGTTTTCATATTAGTTTTTGTAAGAATAGCACGTTTTTGTGGGGAAATAAGCAATGCAGCCTTCGATTTCACTGCATGATTTTGAAAGGAAACAAACTGTAGGCAGTTTGCATTTAATATTTAGATTGCTCAAAACTGGGCCTGAGAAAAGATGTGAAAAGATAGACAGGAAGGAACTACGAATAAATCAAGATTGAGTGATACTGAACATTCAAATTATCTGTATTAGAGTAAAAAAAAAATTTTTAAATTACATTCTCCATTTTTCTGGCTGTGATTGTCTGAAAAGAGCACCATTTACAGTTTATCCTGTATTACAAATCAAACTTTAGAGAAATGATTGAGGGTCTCTCAGAGAATGAGACAATGAGCTCCAATCTCAACACATGCTTTTCACAGAGACAGAGACCTGGAAAAGAAAAACAACAACAATTAGACAATCTGTGTGTTTAACAGCAAAATAAATCTGGGGGAAAATGAGTTACTTTTTTCCCCACATCAATCTACACTCCACACACCACACCACACCACACCAAAACAGTTTTTTTTTGCAAATTTGTTAAAAAATAAAAAAAAATTAAAAAAACTTCCATTCCATTACTTAGTGGAAGAAATTTGAAACAACCAGGACTCTTCCTAGAGCTGACAGCCACCTGGCCAAACTGAGCAATCGATGGAGAAGGGCTTTGGTTAGACTGGTGACCAATAACCTGATGGCCACTCTAGTTGAGCTCTATGATCATATGTGGAGATGGGAGAAACCTACAGAAGGACAAACATCACTGCAACACTCCACCGATCTGGTCTTTACAGCGGTGTGGCCAAACTCAATCCTCTCCTTAGTGAAGAAATAAGAAAACACACTTGGAATTTGCAAAAAAAATTAAAAAGCAGCTAAAGAACCCTCAGATTGTGAGAAACGAGTCTCTGGTCTGATGAACCTCAATTCCAAGCATCATGTTTGAAGGAAACCAGACACTGCTCATCACCTGCAGAGTAGCATTCCAACAGTAAAGTGTGCTGGTAGCAGCCTCATGCTGTGGGGCTGTTTTTCAGTGGCAGGGACCCAGCCAGAGCCTGGGCTTGAACCCAATCAAACATTTCTGGAGAAACCTGAAAATGTGCGTCTGCCCCCATCCAACCTGACAGAGCTTGAGAGGTGAAGAGGTGAGGACGAGAATGGTAGATAATTGCCAAATTGAGATGTGCAAAGCTTGTCACATCATACCAAAAAGACTTGAGGCTGTAAAGGTGCTTCAACGAAGTACTGAGTTATATATACTTATGCAATGTACTTATTTCAGTTTTTTATTTTTAATACATTTATGAAGTTTTGATAATTCTGTTTTTGCAGTGTAGATTGATGTGGGAAAAAATAGAAATCTAAAGTAGTTTAACATATGGCAGCAAGATAACAAAACGTGAAAAAAAAAATGAAGGGGTATGAATACTTTCGTAAGGCACTATATATATATTGGAAAAAATAGTGGAAAAAATAACAGTTTTTGCATTAGGTAATTAGGCATCCCAAAATGAAGTTAAAAACAAATAGAATGCAGTGATTATATATTGTGGTCATGTACAATTGGGTGTGTGGTGGGATTTGGGGCCTAACATACAGTTTTATTTGTTAAAAGTGTAGAATACAATAAGAATCTGTTTAGTGACACATGATAAACTGAGGTGAACTATATAGAGCTCAGTCAGAGTAGTGCCATATTTAATTCTTGACAGGAATGAAAACGAGATTGAGAGGGAATGAAAATTACATGAGCTAGGCCCTTTACAGTGTGTGCCACTGTAAAGACTTCAAAGGTATAGTGTAACGTAGTTCGTAGTTCGGGAAGAAGGAGGCGGGAACCGGCTAACATTAAAGATTTTAATAATAAAATAACCAAACACAAAATAGCGCGACAGCCCCTCGCGGACGACTGTCGCGCACAAACAAAACCAAAAATTCTGTCATTAATTACTCACCCTCATGTCGTTCCAAACCCGTGAGACTTTCGTTCATCTTCGGAACTATTTTTGATATTGAACGAAAGTCTTCGGAAATATTTTTGATGAAATCGGAGAGCTTGCTGACCCTGCATAGACAGCAACGCAACTGACACATTCAAGGCCCAGAAAGGTAGTAAGGACATCGTTAAAATAGTCCATGTGGCATCAGTGGTTCAACCAGTGGTGAGGCTACAGGTGGGCATGGACCCACACACTTTCAACTGTAGCCCACCCAATGAGAAGTTGGTAATTTTCCAAATGGATGTAATTTATTAAACAATAATAACAAACGTCTTATTTCACTATAACTTTAAATATGTAGTTTAAAAAAATATTAAACAAAGAGTTTTCATGGTCAAATTCAGGCAGTTTCCGTCTACAGATGAAACCAGACCACCTGCGAGTGATGAATTTATATATCGCAAACTTCTGAGCTAAGTGTGTTTGAAGCATCATATTAGCATAGGTACAATTTGATCTGCTAAACAGATGCGTCCTTTGAAATGTTCATTTTTGGGTGAACTATACCTTTGAGTCTATCCGTCACAGCTGTGTTAAATTCAATATGGTGTCTAACCTGACTGAGGTCAATTGTATTGGGCGTTTGAGTTAAACTTGACCGCATCGGTTGTACTGACTAGATTCAGTAGTTTTCAGTGACTGGGTTATGCCAGTCTCTGATCTTCCTACTTGGAGTCAAACCATGTGTGAATGTTGACATGTCTCTAGTTCACATAACCAAGTGCTGCTTAAACCATTTAGGGTTAATGTTACGGGTACTGTTACGAAGACTAGATCTGCTGGAGCTGTCTTTAGATCAGGGATGTCCAATTCTGGTCCAGGAGAGACACTTTCCTACAGAGTTTAGCTCCAACTGGGGCTAGATCTAAACTCTGCTGGAAGGTGGCCCTCCAGGAACAGGACTGTACACCCCTGCTTCAGATGCTTTGGCTTAGAGTTAATTTCCTCAATGGAAACTATGATGAAAAATATTTGTTGATGATGGCTAAGATGAGACAAAGACGAGATCATGCTGACATCATTAAACACTAACTGTGACTATAACAACATGCAATATCACTGACAAGAAAATACAGGACTAAAATGTAGATTAAAACATAAAAGTGCTCTATAAATTTCTCTATATTCTTTTGTAAAGTTTTTTTTTTGTTTGTTTTGATAGAAAGACATGAATATAATTTGAAATTATAGGCATGAATATTAGGAATGACACTGCCGTAGCTTTTGAAAGAAGATTTTGAGTTTTACCAGCTTTCAGAAAGTAGAGAGTGTGTTTATATTTATGATCATATAATACATTCGAGAAACTAGATAAGGTAAAGTAACCATGTGTATGGTTATATGTGAAAGTGCATTCATTCTGATGTAATTTCTCAAAGGACAACAATCACGTTAAGCAATCATGATTATAATTTTGAGCAAAATAATTATGACGGTCTAACCATTATCCTGCAAGACTAAAATGTGAATAAGTTTTAATTGACTAAAACGAGACTAAAATTCCCAGACTTTTAATATGGGGTCACATTTACCATTGCTCTGCGAAATTCCATTAATTTCAATAGTAATCGGTGTGAATGGGAGTTTCGCATGAGGGCGAAAAGTTCCCCGTGCAGATTTCACTCATGTTCAAGTTGGTCACATGACTTTGCCACGTTGACCATTAGAAAAGCTGCTTGGTTTGAAAGTGACCTTTATGTGAGCAGACGAATCCTTCTGAAGACGTACCCATGCCTCTTGGTCTTGGACTACATAAAGGAAGTGGTTAAAGCAAATTTGATAAAAGTATTCTTACCCAGCCCCCTTGCTCTGCAATCCAGTTTGTTAGACGGTTGTTTACGAATCCCATCATAGCGACCTCGACTACATTCGTCATGGCAGGGCAGTTTTTCTTCATAAAGAGTCCCAGTGTGATGGCAGCCTTGAGGAGCTGCTTCTCTGAGGCCACTTCTGCTCTTTCCACAACCCACATCTTACACAGGCTGTCCACGCTATCACTGAACACAGTCACCACCTAGAGGACAGACACGTCAGAGGCTACAGATGTCAAATGTCAAACATGTGGTTAAAACATGTGGTTAAAACATGCAGTTGCCATGCAATTAAAGCAAAAAGGCTTAGCTATCAGCCAACAGGAAATACTGCATACTTTTTGAGGCTGCTCAAGAAGTTTCACTTTTACTAGGTTCAGGGAAGAAAACAAAACGTGAAGATATCAACTGCACTGCTTTACAGCAGCCTGCCGTTATTGCCTGTAATTATGAGTGGACCAGGAACAAAGTTACACTGATAAAATATCCAATGTTCACAAAGTGATACAAACATTCTTCAGATTAGCTGATCAGTGTCTGAAGAAAGACCATTTGGACTCACCTGATCGTCTGCAGCTCTCTGTACATTCTTCATCAGTGGCTGGATCACTTTCTCATCATAATCGTCCCCCAGTTCCCTGAGCTTATGGGCTATTTTTACAGGGTCAAATGAGTTCTCTGCAGAACAAGTAGCTTATATTTAATTTATGACAGACTTAAAATAATGTATCTGGTTATTGTGCACTTACATGACAAGAGAGAAAACATTCAAGGATGTTGTCATAATAGCAAGTTTTTTAAATTGTGTAAATTTTTTTTTACATCATTTTAATAAGGTGCTTACATCGCTAAATCAGTGTTTCAAATGTGTACAACATCAATAAATCAGCTTGTAAACAATGTCACATAACGTTACATTTTAATAAATACATGTACTATATTATATATTCATTATATTTTTACTTAACCTGTTAGTGATATTTATTGTATGTAGAAAACAATGTCAGGAAAACATATTATGACGTTTAAATAAGTATAGTTAAACAACGAAGTGGAGTACAAACTTTAAAAGGTTGCTATAAAAACTGCCTTATGTGCATTTTATTTGAGTTTTGATTATTACATCTAAAATTGATGTGTTTCAAAAATAAGGTCAGCTATGCAAGGTGTGAGCAAGTCATTGTTTACACGTATGTTCAAAAGAGGCAACGCCTTTTCGTAGAATGACTCGAATAAAACATAGAAATCAAAGTCGAACACTTACCATCTTCAGGACCATCAGTCTCCACCATATCAATATCTCGTTCATTTTGTAATAGGCAGTGTATGACGTGGTATGTTTGTTTCTGAATGCCAGCTGCCGCCATCGCGTTTACCGGTGTTACAATATATTCAGTTCCTTTGATGGTTCCACTGGGTGGCGCCTGTATGGATATTCATATTGTGGGCGTGTCCTTGAGACAACGCGCAAACGAATGGGATTGAAATGTACACATTCCTCAAATCGCATAAAGCAGCTGCTTCCTTCCTTGTTATAGTGACATTTATTTAATTTAACTTATATTTTCTATACCCTACAACAGGGTTTCCCAAACTGGGGGTTGTGAGTTGATGAAAAGTTGAATTTTAATGTTCTATTATTTGATTAGAAATACAGTAAAACAGCAAAATGAAAAAAAAAAAAAAAAAATTTTTATCCTTTTTAATGTATATTAAAATTTAATTTATTCTTGTGATGGCAACTCTGAATTTTCAGTTACGCCAGTCTTCAGTGTCACGTGATCCTTCATAAATCATTCTAATATGCTGATTTGGAGCTCAAGAAACATTTCTTCTTATTATCAATGTTTGAAAACAGTTTTTACTGCTTAATATTTTTGTTGAAACCATAATACATTACCATTAAAAACAATGGCGTAAGTACCAGTGGCGCTTGGCCAATAGAGGACGCTAGGGCCCTCCCTGAGCAACACAACATAATAATAATAATAATAATAATAATAATAATAATAATAATAATAATAATAATAATAATAATAATAATAATAATAATAATAATAATAATAATAATAATAATAATAATAATAATAATATGACCTGTATGTGTATGATGTGTTCACTGTCTTAACCTCAAAACTGTTTCAAAGGTTGCTTGATAAGTCACAGTAAACATTACTTGTATGTGGACCCTTTTTGGAATATTTTTGTTAGACCATGTATTCCATACTCACTGCTATTTATCATATTATACACTAGAGGTCGCAGTGAGCACTAGATTGAGGAGCAGCGCTGATGCTCGTAGTTCTCGTCGGGTGCAGTGGCGCGCGCCTGTAATCCAAGCTGCTGGGAGGCTGAGGCTGGCGGATCGCTTGAGTTCAGGGGTTCTGGGCTGCAGTGGACTATGTCGATCGGGTGTCCGCACTAAGTTCGGTATCGATATGGTGCTCCTGGGGGAGCTCGGGACCACCAGGTCGTCTAAGGAGGGGTGAACCGGCCCAGGTCGGAGACGGAGCAGGTCAAAGCCCCCGTGTCGATCAGTAGTGGGGTCGCGCCTGTGAATAGACATTACAGTGCAGCCTGAGCGATACAGCGAGACTCAGACTTTTGTGTGCATTTTTCGTGTAATATCTTAAATGTGTTTAGTGCCATATTTACCGTTTTGCTTTAATACAAACGTGAATCTTAATATACATTTTAATTTAAAACAGCTCTGCAAAGAGGTTTAAATTACAATTTTGACAGCCAATGTGAGATTAAAGTAATGTGGCAACTAACTGGTCAAACGAGGCAAAAAGAGCCTGTATTCGTCTTCTGTATATGGACTGCCTTTTGGAAACCACTCCAAGGCCAATACAACATTGGCTTAGCATCCGACCAATAAAAAAAGAATTAATATGGTTTTGTGAGCATGTGCATGATCTGCACTTTAGCGCTACTTTACACAGCTTATCAAAAACAATACTTAGAGTAATGTGCAGTAGTGTTCAATCCAATGTTTCATATTTCCACTCAGTCTGTCCCATGGTAGGGTAGAGTGAGGGAAAAGCCCCGCACCCCCTACTGTTTTTCCAAAAAATAACCACTAGATAAAGTCAAGATGCATTTTTGTTGTTGCTATGAACTACGTTGACAAGAGTGATGTAGAAGTATTCACCGTGAAGCTTACACTGGTGATGAACCTGAGAGAAAACAGATTTCACAGTAAGTGATCTCATTTTCAGCAGTAAGAAAAAAGTGTTTAAAAGCTTGTTGTTTTGTAGAACATCAGTTAGGCTTTAAATATGAGAATAGTAAGGCATACATGTACATGTACTTGTTATTTAAGAAAAATATAATTGTATTTTCAAAATGACATTTTTTTTTCAAACCTAGTCTGTAGAATAAAACGCCCCCAGGGGGCATGACTTAATTACTGTAGTTAGCCTACTCTGTTCTGAATATCAAATCCTTTGTTTTTCCATCAAATGGATTGTAAATAGGTGGTTGAATAAAAATATTTGGACTTTATATTTAAACATTACCTCAAGTTACCAGGTAGCTAGTTAGCTAGCCAATTAGCATCAGCTAACAATATTTTACAAATAGGCTATTATAATTTTGTAAATCATAATTACTGATTCTATTCTTTTTCATTTTAAGCTAAACTGCCGGTACTCTGGTTTCGCTGTAAATGTATAAAGTAGTACCTA